GCTGACCTGCTGATCTAGCAGTAGCCTGCAGTGCTGCATTTTAACCACTGCGCCACCTTGGAATTCACTGGGCAGAATTTATTGCTGGCTACCATGTTTTGACTGCAAGAATCCAACTCAACAACAGACTGTATTATAATACAATAGATAACGGTAGCTACAATGCTAACTCACTGCTGTCATCTGACAAATCTGAATGGTACTCCTGGGCATTCAGATTCTTGCGACCTGGATTTGACAGCCCTAATTCTTATTCAGTGTGTGAAATATCTAATGTCGTCTTTTTAAAACCTCAAAGTCATATCTGAGTTTTACACAGTTTGGTTAGTTGCCATCTATTCTGAACAGACTCACCTGTGGAAGAAAATTTGGACGAGGAGTAAGTCTGGGAGGAGGGATGAACTCTGGCACTTTGATAGGCTGAGGAGCTGTAGCTTGAACCTGCTAAACAACAGGAGTGAGCTCAGGTGGCGATGAAACTAAAGCAGCTTTAGGCAAAGTATGGGTACGATGAATCATTTTGAAGTTATATAATGCTAGCCAGTCTTTCCACCATAAACTGATTCTGAAGAGTGAAACTGTCTTTTTTACTTAGGAAGTATAAAACTAGCCTTTTTCCTTGTCTCATAAATATGTACACCTATGTTATCATTATAAGACTGTACTAATCAACTGAACCTTTTGAATTTTTATACATTACAGGTTGCTCTACAATAATTAGAATATAATATCAGTCTTGTTAACCATTCAAATGGCATTTCACAAGACATTTAACTATGTTAAAAGCATAAGCATTCATATTCAAAGTAGCCCAAACCACTTCTTTGCACAATGAATGATTTTATTTATTATCCAGGAACACATAGGAAATAATGTATTATTAGAATACTAAGGTCATAAGTAGATTTACTTACAGATGCATTTCTGGATTAATTCTCAAATGTTAATATTCAGATGGTTCATATATTTAACAGTACACTGATAATCACTGTTATATTTCTAATCCAAATTGTATTTGTTTAAATAGCTGACTTCACATTCAAAATTAAATTTTACATTTTAATAGGTTTCAACTCTTTGACTTTTTGTCAACTGATCCTTGATCATAATAGTGCTTGTAATTATTATAGAGTGAAAAAATGCTGGCAAGAACTCATTGTACAAGGTACCATTTTATAGACCCAGTGGCAGTAATATTTAATGAAGTTGAACAAGTCTTGTGGGTTTATTTTTTTCACAAGCAATGAAATTGAAAAAAATAAACTAAGTCAGAAGATATACCATTCAAATAGAGTGTCCCCAAGCATAAAATTTTAAAATCAAGATTAAGGAATCTGTGTCCTTTCAGCAAGGAGATTAAGAATCATACAGAATCAATTTAACATCTTATTATTGGAACATATGTTAATGACACATAATTGTGTAGTACTGTAACAATATTAATCAGCACTGGAATAGTAATTAAAATTGAAAATTTCTAAAATAAGTGTGTTATCTAATTGTAATTTAAGCGAAGCATCAGAATATAATATATATTCTCAAAGTATATAAATAATATACTCTGTTCTCTAGTATACATAACTTCGTATTATGTTTATTATGAAAAATGGTTCAAGTGCTGAGCTACCCAGCTTGCTTACCAATGTGACTGTATTTTTTGCCACTATTTGTACTGCCTCTGTTCCTGGACCGGTGACTTTATTTGTTGTCTGGAGGTTGACAGGTGTGTTCTGTGCATCAGTGCTAAGGACAGTTTTCTGGCTGCTGTTGATGACAGTCACCATGGCAATTGTAGGTCTTTGACCCACAACAGAGGCAGGCATGGTTGCTGTTGCTTTCAGAACAAGAGGTAGTGTCTTAGTGGTGATCATAGAAGCTGTAGTTACAGTTTTCTAAGAGAAACAGAAAATACATTTTTTCTGGAAGATTGCACCACCCACTGAGAAAAATTTATTATTGAGAACTGTGAGGAAACAGAAGTAATACAGCACAATGGGGAAATTATGGAAAATTTAAACACTGATATTTTTTCCTGCAATCAATACATTTATTAATACTTTATAGCAAATCTCATATACACTTGACAACTAAACATACAGAAATACTAGGTCATGATTTGTTCAGAGTTGATGAAATATGCATAGCAGTAATCAAGTTTTGTATGCATCCTTCAATGTTTGCCTTTCAACTCCTTGGAATGTGTCCTTACCATATCTCTAGACTTTTGGAAAGGCGTGTCTCTTCTTAACAATTTATGTTAGTAATATCCAGAATGTTCAGTGCACAAGCTATCCTGTACACAGAACTGGTAAAACTTGGTGGACCATGTTTGGGACATAACATAGGTATTTTATCCACACATGGACCCAGAACATGTGTGTTCCAGACATAGGGCCTCTAGAATAAGACAGAAGGGAAAAATAAAGCCATCAGTGTGTGTGGCAGCTAAGCAGGGATAAAGGATAAGAATAAGGAAGGTGATGGGAACATCCAGAGAGGAATGAGTTGCTGGGCCGGTTGAGTATCTCATTCGTGAATTCAAGTTTGGCAATGACAGCCACAGGGAAGGAGGAAATGGGAAGGCCAGGTGAGGGACAAGATGCCTGGTCATATAGAATGACAGCAGCTGCAGGGAAGGAAAGCTATGGGAAAAGGAGCAAAAAGTGGAATGGATCAGTCACTTATGCTATGCTCAAGTACAAAATGGTAGCAGGGAGATGTGCTGTGAAGTCCCTGGGCAAACTAATACCTAGGCCATGAAGAGAAGGGAAGAGAGGAGTGATCTGTGTCAGTCTTGCTCTTTCTGGATTATCCTTGAAAAAAATCCAGGAATAACCAAAATGTTGCACATTTCCAGTTATTCTAGAGTGTGATGTGCCTAGGATGATCCAGCCAAGCATTCATGACACATAATTTCCAATTTTGTGCAAACGTCTACCTTATGTGCTTAATGCAATAAATATAGATGTGAATATGTATATGGAAATATCACTGTATCTGTAGAATGTCATAAAACTGTATTTGTTTTTAAACAATTTTTGGTTCAAGTAGACAAAGGTTAATATGTGAAATTCAGTCCAGACAAGAAATTCCCCAAAATTAAGAGATCATTATATGACTTTTGGAAACTCCCAGTCATTGACAATTGAAAAGCAACAGTAAATATCATATGGGACTGTTCACTGGCAAAGTATTTTTATTATAGCAGAAGTTTCTAAATAAGTATCTAGTATTAGATTTATTGCTGCAGTATTATATTTTCAGTTGGGATAGGATTATTTTATCAGAGGGAAGCAACCCTCTGTTAAAGTTCTAAAGTTCACAGACAGTACAATGATCACTGGCCTCGTTCAAGACAGTGATGAGTTTGCACATAGATGGGAGGTTGAACAACTGGCCCTAAGGTGCAGATAGTGGACTTTAAGAGGAACCCTTCTATTTTAACCCCTTCATATGTTATGCTACAATTAACTAGACCTGGGACCTTCAGGATTTCTCCACCTATGTATGCATAGAAATCCATGACTTTGCACTATGCTCAAATTTTGCTTTTCTCTAAAACAGGTGTACACTTTTTGATATAGTATTCATATCAGATGTATCAGATTCCACTTAATATGCTTAATCTGATTTGTATAATTTAAATTATATGTTCTTAGCTACATCACAACATTAATTATAAGTGGACCCTAGAGAGTAATGTCCAAATGTAAAGAATCATTCCTCCCAAAAATTTGAAAAAGAAAATACTATTGGTATTACTGGTCAAAGTTTTGCTAGCAATTATTTCATATTGTGAAATAATACTTTAACATTTTAATATCAGTAAACTATGAATTTTCAGTATGGTCACAGTACTACAATTAAGAATTCTACAATATTATAATTTGTTATTGCTAGTGTTTCCTTCTAGCTCCTTTTAATAATTGTGCACATTTTAAAAATCCTGTAAAATTCTTTGCTAAGGATACACCATACAAAGTAGCTTCATAATGTGAAAGAACTGATTTAATTCTTCCAAATGATTAGACTTGAAAGATTTAAAGAATAATTTGAGAAGTCCTGTGATGTATCATAATTAAGTCCACATGCAATTTAGATAACAATTTTATTTTTTTGGATTTTGATTAATTTGGTTTTTTCTCTTATGAAACAAATAGGCTTATAAGTTTAAAGCTTTTAAAGAAGGTCTGCAACTGAATAATAAAAGAAAAAAGTGTAGCAATTTTAAGGCAATTTCACTAGAGGGCTCTTTAGTTTTAAATATCATCTTGTTTAAGCAGCATATTAACTGAAAGTTAAACTATAAAACAGAGTAAAGTTCTAATCTTTTAATAGTCAGTTTTTAATACTAGCTAATATAAATTATGTAAGATTATTCAAAATGAACTTAATACAATTTCTGTAGTATTTATGTTTTGCTTAATGTAAATTAATCACATTAATAAAAAATAGTTAGAAGAGCATCAGATAAATCTGCAATTAAAATTTCAAACCTGAAGTTGGTCTAACCAGTTAAATATCTACTTCATAGCAAATGATTTCTAGAATTAAAATTTATGAATTAATTAATATTTTTTCTTGGTTTACCAACAGTGTACATATAATTTGACAATTTTTTCCCAGTAATTTAATGGGACACTGATATGCTGCTATCATAGGAATAATTACCATAAGTTCAAGTCCTGCCTTAGCCATGAAAGCCAACTGGGTAATTTTGGGCCAGTCATTCTTTTTCAGTGCAACCCACTTCACAAGGTTGTTGTTGTGGGAAAATGGAGAAGGAAGTTATGTTGGATATGTTTCCTGCCTTGAGTCGATAATAGTAATAAAGGCGGGATATGAATAAATAAAAATATTTTATTTTTTCTTATATTCCAGTTGGCCATCCGTTCTTTTTCACTAATGACAATGATAATTCTCCAGGTATCAGAGTCTGAAACAGGGATGTTTTATATGCAAATGATCCTTTATTATAAGTAGCAGAATAAATAAAGTTACACAGCTGAATGGGACAACTCGCTGTAGCAGGGTCAACACTGAGTTGCCCCAGCTTTCCCGCCATGGGCAACTCGCCACAGGACAACTCACTGTGGGAAAATACTGGAGGTGAGGGGAATATCCTCCTTCTCCTTCCTCCCCCACTCTCTCCTTGACCTGGATTACCACCCCCACCAAAAAACCCTGAATTCTGTGGCAAAAACTCCTGCACAGCGAAGTGTGACTCTTTCTGAAGTGATCTTTTTTCTGGTGGGGGGTGGGAGTCCCTCTTCCCCTCTCTGCTTCGTTCTTCCTGATTTCGCCCCCCCCCCATCTGAGCTATGGAGGAGGAGGAGAGGTGGAGGAGGAGAGTGTTTCCCTTGCCTCCTGCATTCTCCCGTGGTGAGTTGTTCTGTGGCAAGTTGTCCCACAGTGAGGTGGCTGGGGTGAGATGACAGCAGCAAACTAGCACCAGTGAGCCAGAGGTTGCACATTGCCCTAAACCCATTACACATAGGACTACAGATATTTGCAGCTGTACACCTTATTCTGTTTACTACTACTTGCAATACATCAGAGCCATTGGAAAAAATTGCAACTGCTTTGAGGTTCAATTAGTTGCCTTTTACCATGACTACTTAGAGAGCAAAATACTTTTTAGTCAAGCATTATCTTTAGTATTCTAAATTCTTATGTTATTTTGGTAAGAGAATATTAATCCAAAACTACTTTGTACCATTACACCTTCACTATGTTATTTTACCAAGTTCTTTAGTTCCAATTTCTTGAAGATAGAAATGCATATATTACCTGTTGACATATTATTATTCTCAACTTTTATCACACAATAAATTGCCAAAAATGTTATGAAAAATCTTAATTTACTTTATTTGTTCACAACCCTACATACACTAATTTGACTAGAATTCATTCATAAAAATTGTCCTAGTCTTACTGTAATAAATATTAGATATTAGTCCAACTGAATTTCAAGGGAAGAAAACACTTGTCTTTATTGCTTATATAAAATCGGTGACAGAGTATGCAATGAGAAAATGTGATCCTCAGTATGAAAAGTTAGATAGTATGAAATGTGTCAACATTTTATTAAAAATGAACTTAAAGGTCAGGATCATTACATTATCTCCCCCATTTAGACACACAATCTTTTATTGGGCAAGACAAACGAAACTGCTTTCTGCTATGTTATTTATAGTCACTTTTAGAGAAAATGTTTCTCCATCATTTATGAATGGCAATTAACATCATTTAACCTATAAACGGTAGAGGTTCTCCTGACCAATAGCAACATAAAACTTTTTCATGCAGAGATTTGCTTTTTGCAACAGCAGTTATTAAGATCGATGGGTAACTACTTTAGTTTATATATTTTATATTTATTAGAAAATATATGGTTGATTGTAAGTTGATATCATAATATTATTCTGCATGTATATCTTTATTTACAGACAATTAATTATACATTATTTCTGTAGTTTAATTGCCTTTCACTGAAATAAATAACCTGAACTGGTCAAAGATCTCTAAATAGTTCAAGATTCCTGGATGTCATTTGAAATAAAGCCAAATAGAAACAAGACGAGCATTAGTCAACGGTAGAGAGGAAAATGGCAAAGACAGAAGATAAGTACCTTTGTTTTTACTTAAAGATTTCTGATAACATTACCCGATCCTATAAATATTCACTCACTCCTATTCAGATCAAAATGTAAATGCTTCCTAGTTGTTACCAAGACTAATATTGATTTTATACAGTGATGAATTCCAGCCTAAGAAATAGCTTTCCAAAATCACAGTAACTAATTCAAACCCTTTACCTGTGATCCAAGCAGGTTTGGAGAGGGTGCTGTGGTCTGCTGCTGTGGCTGCTGCTGCTGCTGCTGCTGCTGTAGAGGCTGTGATGTTTGTATTTTAGTTTCTGTCTGTGCCAATGGCTGTATTTGAAACTTACTATCAGGCTGTTCCTGCTTTACCATTAAATTCTTTCGGAGTTGTTCAACTACTCTTTTCTAGAAAAAGAATAAGGGCAAAGAGAAATAGTATCATATACTTTTTTGTATTACATTAAAAATCCATTTCAAGATCTTTTTCAAAAGCAAATAGAAGTAATGTAACTGGTTATAAGATGAACCTTGTTTTAGAGTTCTATGTTAAATACCGTATTTATCGGCGTATAACACGCACCGGCGTATAACACGCATTCCCCATTTTAACACAAAAATTTGAGTAAAAATTTTTTTCATTAAAAATAAATGACTTGGAAGCTCGGAACTTAATGTTGGATTAAAATTTATAACATTAGAACATGAATTACTTCCCCACCCTCTTCTGTCACATCATTTTCCCCCCTCTGATCCCCCTGTACCACCTAATCCCCCCCCCCAGATCCACCTGTACAACCTAATCCCCCTGTACCACATAGTCCTGATACCACCTGTACCATATAACCCCACCCCCCATATCACATACTCTTTCCCCCTGCGCCACATAACAAGCCCCCCCCACATAAACCCCTATTTCTATATGTTTTTGTTTTCACCACAGTACCTGGCCTGTGTCGCTAGCAGACTCAGGTTACTCTTTAATTGCGCTGACGAGTAACGTCCTCAGCGTAACGTCAGGGACGTCACTCGTCAGAAGTACGGTGGCCTCGGAGGGTCCTGAGGAGCAGCCTTTAAAACAGCAGCGCGGGCGGCTGCGGACTCACAGCTGATTGGGAGAATGCCGGCGCGTACACTTGGGACCAGAGAGCAGGCGGGCGGGAAGGTAAGCACCCGCAATGATGGAGAAAAAATACAGGCAGCGGGCGGCTCTCTGGCCGCTGCGAGCCGCTGCTGCTAGGATGGGGTTAAATCAGGCAGCGGGCGGCTCTCCAGCCGCCGCTTGTTCAATGATGGGGTTAAAGCGAACAGCAGGTGGCTGGAGAGCTGCCGCCACTGCTGCAAGGTAGGGGTTATATCAGGCAGGGTAGCTGGAGAGCCGCCGACGCTGCCATGAAATGGATGCTGCACTTCTATGAGTATCATGGGCGCCGGTGAATCAGCTGGAGCAGGCAGTTTGGGACCCGGCGTATAACACGCAGTATCGGCGTATAACACGCAGGCAGGGTTTAAGCTTGCAATTTTAGTTTTAAAACTGCGTGTTATACGCCGATAAATACGGTAGTCAGTTTTCTAATATTAATATAATATAAATTTTGTTAACAATGAGTTTTAAGTTCTAATTCATTTTAATTACTGTTAGATAGGTGTGTATGTATATTTATATCTGATGATATTTCCATTGTTTATTTTTATCGCAGTTTGTTAAACTCATTATAAGCTATAAACATTTGATTAATAAATTTCATACGAAATAAAAATAAAGAAAGCAAATTCATATTTTGACAATTACTAACGATGTCAAACTAGCAAATTTAAGCAAGGATAACATATCACTAAGATCAGAAGTTATGAGCAATTCAATAAAGACGTCCCTCCCCCAGGAATTATTGCTCTTTCACAGCTCAGACAAAAATGTGGAGCTGAATAAGGCATTCATCATTTAATCTTTCACAAACTTTTATTACAAATCAGTTAAGGGTTATAAGCAACAAGAATCTTGGGTTATCATAATATCTAATTCCTGCATATGGGAGCTCTGTGTATTGCTAATATAACAGAATGTTATTCCCCAGTTTGGGTGACCTCCAATCCTATAATCAAAACTATTCATGATATTCCTGATCTTTATTCCACTGTCTTTTCCACATGCCTAGGAATGGTACATGTTTTAGGCTGCATCATATTTTTTGGAATTATTTTTGTCCTTTTTAAGCTTGAAGAATATATTTAAAAAATGTATCATTAAAATTTCCACTGATTTTGTTAGCCTGTTATCCATACATGCCTAGTAGGTCATTTGTGGTATTCTGAATATAAATTGCAGTTCTATAATTTATTTCACACAAACTTTATTTTTTGTTTATCTGATGGTAATACTTTGTTTAATTATCTTACAGTAATTCTTATAACCAATAGACACATGGCAATTTTTAGAGCCTTGGCATTTATTTTTATCGACTCAAGTTCTAAATGCATTTGCCAAGAGATCAGGACAATGAAATTCCATATTCTTTATTTAGGCATTCAAATACTGTTGCATTATTTACTGTTTCTTTCTGAAGTACAAAATGATGTGTCAGCAAGTGTAGGCAAGAACAGAAGGATCATTTGCAGGAAGCAGAATACCATAAGGAAAATAACAGAACAGAAGCCAATTATACATGCCAAACTATTACTCTAATTATTCACAGCAGAAGAATATATGTTAGTTTATCTGGCTAGAGAACAGTATTCAAGAGATGCTAGGCCTCAACATTCCCAAACTAGGTTACAATAAAAAGAATAAATTAGAAGAGATATTAGGAAAAACAAAAAACAAGTATGCTGTTTCAATTCGTCCTGGCCTTCTTCTTCAAGAAACTTGTGGATAAAAAAACAGGGTTGAAATTTCTGTAAATTTTCAAAGTTTTTTTTTTTAAGTAGGCTTTATCTACATGCATGGGGAAAGGATATTGCTCTACATTGCTCTTTTTGTCTTCTGTGGAAAACTTTGGAAAAATACACTTCCTACTGCCTTCCATTTATAAAAGACCAGATACATAAAGGCAAAAGTTGAGTTTATTTTAATTACTTCATAAAATTAATGTAGTTATGCAACAAGTCTATAATCCAAGAAATACAGTGTTTATATGTATAATGAGCCTGGTGATTCAGTGGTTAGAATGTAGTATTGCAAGCTATCTCTGCCCACTGTCACTAGTTCAATCCTGAGCAGCTCAAGGTTGATTCAGTCTTCCGTCCTTCTGAGGTTTGTGAGCCAAGGTGGCGCAGTGGTTAAATGCAGCACTGCAGGCTACTGCTAGATCAGCAGGTCAGCGGTTCAAATCTCACC